CAGCACTGGTCGGCCGCTATGACGGTTTTGCGTTATCTAGCAAGTAGATCAGGCATGGGGTTAGTGCTTGGAGGACGCAGGCCAGTGGTCCTTACTGGGGACACAGACGCTAATTGGGCAGACGACGCTGAGACCCTCAGGTCCTTCCAGGGCTACTGCATTAGCCTTGGTTCTGGTGCCATCTCGTGGAGGTCCGCTCGCTCCTCGTCTGTTGCCCAGTCTAGTTGTGAGGCTGAGATCTACGCTGTTGCCATGGCGGCACAGGAGCTCTGCTGGCTGACCTTCTTCCTCGCTGACTTAGGTGAGCGGCCTAGTTCTGCCCCGGTTCTGTACGCTGACAACAGGGCCATGATCCTCCTGTGTCAGGAGCGTCGACTTGAGGGCAGAGCGAAGCACATCCAGCTGCGGTACTTCCTCCTGCGCGAGCTACAGCGGCGTCACCACGCCTGTGTAGTACACTTGGCCTCCGGTGCCAACACAGCTGATATCTTTACTAAAGCGCTTGCGCCTAAAGATCATGAGCGGCACTGTTTGCAGCTTGGTCTAGTTCCTGTAGACTCTCACTTGCTAGGATTTTGATTGTGTACTGCTCTATATTTATACATTCCAGACTGGCCTTGTGGCTTCTCTTCCAGTGGCCGGACTAGGTGTGCCGCCCTGGTTTGCTCTTGACTTGTTTGTACTCTTGCTGACTGGTCTTTAGACCCCTGCCTTAGAGGTTGGACTAGTAGTGCCACCTTGAGCTGCGTGTTTCTTGCTCAGCACTACCCCTTATCTAGCCTAGGGGGTGTGTCAAGTTATACAAATGATGTTATGTAGAAGTTATAGGCTAGATAGGTGTATGTTCTTAGTGGTACAACCCCAACTCTATATCTCTCCTGTTTCTCCCTGGTTTCAATTATCCTGGTATTCTAACCAACACACCTATATATTGCCTAGGCCTCATTATTCTGGACAATTGTAATCGTGTTCCCCTAAAGTATTCTGTGCTATACTCTGAGTTATAATTCATAACAAAGACAAGCATTTTTAGAGCCAACCCCAGGCTGTGTTTAGGGCGTTCGAACCAAGGTCTCAGATATAAGACGAAATACGTCTGATGGTCTGAAAATCAGACCTGTTTTTTTTGCTTTCATCTGATTTTTTGATGGGGTGGACTATTTCGTCTGATTGTCCATCTCAGTCATAAGATTTCGTCTGAAAGTTCATACTTGGTGTATTTTTTCGTCTGAAATGTCAGATAGCGTGTACAATTTCGTCTGACAGCAATCGCCCATTATCCCACTGCGCCAATGGGTCGCCTGCCCACTGGCCCACACTTTGCCATCCTGGTCGTGGTCGGTGAGATTTTTTTGGCTAAGTCCTCGACTGCCAGATACATTCCCCCACACCCCTAGAATACCTAGTTTTTCCGGCTAAGTGCCCCACACAAGAGATATTCCTCCACACACCCCTCGCAACAACATTTTTTTGGTTAAGTCTCCCACACCAGATTCATTCATCAATACACCACACCAACCCAAAAAATACGGCGAAGTCCTTAAATGCAAGATACATTCTCCCAGACACCCCTTGCAGTCCGGTTTCCAGCTAAGTCCCTGCTACCCTGCTTCCACAATGTTTTTTCTGCTTCGTCGCTTCACTGGACTGGGGGCGGGGTGGAAGGAACCCTGAAATTGCTGGGCAAAGTGAGGGGGCTGCCTACACGTGACGCGTCGCGCCACCTGCGAGTGTTCCTGCCAGAATCCGAAGGCGTGTATCTTTCAGTTCCGGAACTCAGTAAGTTCCGGAGCCGGGTCTGGTTACACATTTCGCAGCTCATTTCAATAGGTCTTCGCGAGCTCCTCCCCAGGCAAAATGTTTGTCAGTTCCGGAACTAGTTCCGGAACTTCCAGAAGCGGAACTGTAAGACACATGCCTTTAGAGCGTTTTCCTATGGCCTCTGTATCAGAAAGAATAATTGAACTAGAATGTCTGAGTACAAGGGTATATAGACTAGGGTGTTGTACCCTCTAAGGCACAATCCAGTATAGTCTATAGTAACGACCTAAGTTAGATTTGACACACCCCCTAGACTATATAGGGGCAGTGCCTAACAGGGAAAGAAGCAGCTCAGGGCGGCACTACTAGTCCAGCCTCTGAGGCAAGGGTCTAAAGACCAGTCAAAGGAGTACAGACAAGACAAGAGCAAGACCAGGGCGGCACTACTAGTCCAGCCACTGGGAGAGGCCACAAGGCCAGTCAGTGTAAAATATATATATAAAGGACAGTACAAAGTCAAGGCCCTAGCAAGTGAGAGGCTATAGGAACGAGACCTAGCTATACACAGTGCCGCTGATGATCTTTAGGCGCAAGCGCCTTCGTAAAGATATCAGCTGTGTTGGCACCAGAGGCCAAGTGTACTACGCGCGCCTGGCGGCACTGCTGGAGCTCACGCATGAGGAAGTACCGCAGCTGGATGTGCTTCGCTCTGCCCTCGAGTCAAGGCTCCTGACACAAGAGGATCATGGCCCTGTTGTCATGAGGCTGTAGAGCCTGTGGTCTAAAGGCAGAGGAGTGGGCTGTGTGGAGGAGAACTGAAGGCCGAACCTCTGAAGGACCTGGCGCACCAAGTGTGACTGAGTCAAAGTGATGGTGCGCGCTGCTCTGTCCCTGGAGATCTGCAAGCCAAGGTAGTGGCACAGTTCTCCAAGGTCAGTGCAAGTGTGTCTCTTCAACAGCTCTGCCTTCACGGAGGCCAGTGCGTCCCTGTCTGCTGTGGCAAAGACCACGTCGTCTATGTAAACAAGGATGTAGAACGGGGTCTGGCCAGCACGAACGAAGAGCGAGGGGTCTACAGAGGACGGAAAGAACTGCAGGTAAGCAAGCGTAGCACACAGCGTGTCGTGCCACTCACGGGGAGCCTGCTGCAGGCCGTAGACGGGGCGCCTTAGGAGCCACTGGGTCCCAGGAGATAAGGTACCAGTGAATCCCTGAGGGCAGCACAGGTAGACCTGCTCGTGTAGACTGCCCTGAAGAAACACAGTGGAGAAGTCGAGGGAGTGAAGCTCGTAGTCACGCTGAGCTGCTACGTCTAGCAGCACACACAAAGAGTAGTCATCTTCGGGGTCGGAGCGAAGGTCTGGAAGAAGTCCACCCCCTCACGCTGGCTGAAACCTCTAGCCACGTAGCGTGCCTTGAACACAGGCTTCTCTCCAGGAGGGCGCTTCACCTTGAAGAGCCAGCGGCCATCGACTACGTTCACCCCAGGTAGGGGAACTGTGTCGACGTAGGTGCCGGTGGATCTCCAAGATGCCATCTCCTGCTCCATGGCAGCTATCCACTGAGAGGCCCAGGGTCCCGAGACCGCCTCAGCGTAAGTGCGAGGGGTCGGGATGTTGAAAGCATCAGGGTCACCCTCAGGGACTAGAAGCATAGAGCAGAGATGGGGAGCACCCTCGGACAAGAAAGCAAGCTCGTACTGGCGGTCCTCCAGGACGTCACTGCTGAGGGCTGGAGCACCCCCGACAGACGGAGGACAGGCACGGTCAGAGACCAGAGCGGTGGCGTAGTCAAGGCGGCGGGTAGAGGCGAAGTCAGTGACCGCAACGACAAGGGCGTCAAGGCTCGAAACCAGAACAGACGGGTCGGTAACGAGAGAGGTAAGGACCCGAGGAACAAGAGGACGAGCGGTACGCAGGTAGTCAGACAGAGGGGGGGGAGCAACGACAAGGGAGGACGGAGGGGGCGACGGGAGAAGGGGAGGACGAGACGCGTGGGAACGAAGCAACATAGGGTGAGAGCGCGAGACAAGGGAGACAGGTCAAGCACGGGAGGGACAGCAAGACCAGACGTGAGACGGAGGAGTCGGGTCAGGGGACAAAGGAGGGGACACAAGAGGGGAACGAGGGGGGAAACGGGCCGTAGACGAGTCCGGAGGAGGGAACACAGGGCCGTAGACAGGAGGAGGAGGAGGCACAGGTACGGGGTCAGGGGACGGAAGGCCGAGTAGGCGAAGAGCGGACACCGGGGGGGACTGCTGCGGCGGTGGTGTGACATCGACACCGGGACTGCAAGCTGCGTGGCGGCTACCTCCAGAACACTCCATGCCAACACCCCCTGAAGGAACACCCCCAGAGCTCAGAACCCCTCGAGCACCGGTACCACCCCCAGGCCCGCCGAGACAAGCCACGACAGGAGTCCCAGGACTAGTACCCACCCCAACTCTAGCCCCCCCAGAGGCAACGAACTGCTGCGGCGACGGCTGCGGCGGCGGCGGCTGCAACGACAGCGGCGGCGGCGGCGGTGACGACGGCTGCGACAGCGGTGGCGACGGCGGCTGCGGAGGCGGCGGAGGAGACACCTGAGAAGGGGCAGGTGGCGAGGACTGCGCCGCAGGACCACCAGAGTCAGCAGACTCCTCAGCCGGGACAACCGACGTAAGTGGGGTGATGTGGGACACACCAGAGGGGGCAGGACGAGGAGGGGGAGGAGGAGGGGCGGCGACGACCGGGGAACGGGTGACCAAGAACAGGGGGGGGGTAACCGGGGGACCTCGGTGGGGGAAGCGGTAGTAGAAGGAGACGGACTCGTCAAAGGTGACGTCGCGGGAGTGAAAGAACCGGTGAGACGGCGTGTGGTAGAAGTGCCAGTCAGACGCGTCAAGGGGGAAGCCGAGGAAGACACAGGGAAGGGTGCGGGCAGTGAGCTTGTCCGTGCTAGAGGCACGAACGTGAGCAAGGCAGCCCCAGACGTGGAACGCAGACGCATCACCAGGGAACCCAGACCAGAGGAGGGTCGGCGAAACCTGAGGCTGCTGGGGGTGCGGCCACAGGTTAAGCTGGTGAGCGGCGTAGCGAACGGCGAACGGCCACAGAAAATGGGGTGCCCTGGCATGGATCATGGAGGTGCGAGCTACCTCCATTGTTAGGATTAAGGACGGAGTCTAGGAGAACTTAGGAGCTAGAATTACTCAAAATATAAATCCGAAATTCTGGACAGAAAAATCGTCTTCACAAGAAACGACGTCAAGGAAAAACTAGCCGTTGGAATGTCGCGAAACTCGGATATGTTGTAGCTCTTAATCTCAGCTACCGTTCCCAATTTGAATCACGTTGATTGATGAAGCATCCGCGACGCTATGGCTTTCGACGCACTAGGGGGTAAGCTGTAGGAGGAGAACTTAACTCAATCTCAAGAGTTCAATCAAAGTTCAAGAATCTCACAAGGAATTAGAGGAGCAAGAGAAAGGTTGGGATAGAAAGAGAGGGACGAGAGGGAAGGTCCCAAGAGAGTCCCCAACCAAGGAAACCCCATAAGCACAAAGATTCCCTCCCTATAGGAACCCCAACTTTGACATTTGTCCCTTCCCAACCAATCCATCCAAGTTGGCCACCCTTGCCAACCTAGCTTGGTTGTTCCCAACCAATTTTGCAGCTGTTACAGTAGAGTGACAAATTTACCCCACCCCCAAAGGTCCCAACTCCATATAAAGTCACCCCACAACTTCACTTTGTAACCGCCGCAATTGTAACGCAAGCTCATGAACTTTGAATCTTCATAGCTTTCGTGTTCTTGCTCCGATTGAAGCGATTCTTGTTGCCTCAGAAAGATCTTCTCAAGATCTATCATCGCAAATACCTGCTCAGACAGAATAACACAAAATACATTCCCAAACTCCAGAACACACCACACAAATTCTTTCACACACAGTCAAACCATACATGCGAATTGAAACAAGAGATGGGAGGCAGACAGAATGTGATAGCATATGATGACATCACACAACAATCTCCCCCTCTGGCTGCCAACCATCATCCACCATACCAACATCTCAAGCATGCATACTCAATGCACACTCATCCCAGCAAGCTTCATGCCCTTCCAATGATCCGCCTCCGCCAGACGCTTAGTGAAAATATCTGCTGCCTGCTGATGGGTCTTCACTATCTCCAGCCGCACCTCCTTATCAAGGAGTCTCCTCACCCAATGCCACTTAGGCCTTATGTGTTTTGTCAGCCCATGCAGACAAGCATTCTTGGCGAGCTTCACAGCGAACTCATTGTCACAAAACACAACTGTCGGCTCCTCCTGACCAACTCCCAACTCCTCCAACAAACGCCTTAGCCACACTACTTCCTTGGCCCCATGGTGTAAGGCCATGTACTCAGTCTCACATGAGGACAATCCCATCTCATTCTGCTTCTTGCTGCGCCAGCTCACAGCACCACCTCCTAGCAAGCACACATAACCCCCAATGCTGGTGCCATCCGCTTTCACTGAGTTGAAGCTAGCGTCAGTATAGCAACTCAAGAGCATCTCTCCACTCTTCACATCTGCAGCACCTCTCTGCAACCGCTGCCTCACTCCACTGTACTCCAATCCCACTGATGCCGTAGCACTCACATAGCGGACCAACCTCTTGGCCGCTTCCAGCTGCTCATGACTAGGGCGTGAGACCACACTAGCCAACCGTGATGTAGAAAATGCAATGTCAGGCCGTGTATGATTTGCAGCATAATTCAGCGACCCAACCATCGAATGAAACAGCTTCCTGTCACTCTCACCCACTACCTCCTCATCAGCACATGGCTCCACAGTAAACCCCGAAGGTAGTGGTGTTGCTGGCTTTCCCCCATCTTGCAGCCCATACTTCTCAGCCAGCCCCTCACAGTACTTCCTCTGGTGCAACCTCAGCACACCCTTTTCCACATCTCTCTCCACGTGCATCCCCAAGTAGTACTTCACCTCACCCATCTTGGAGCACTTGAACTGCATCTCCAGCATCTGCTCTGCGCTGTCCAGCAAAGCAGTGGATGCAGAAAAGAGAAGGATATCATCCACATACACCAAGAGCATGAGGATTTCATCCTTCTCCTGCAGCAGGAACAGGCTGGGGTCACACTCACTCTTCTTGAAACCCCCAGCCAACAGCGCCTCCTCCAACTTGTGATACCATGCACGAGGCACCTGCTTAAGGCCATAGATGGCCTTCTTCAGCCTGCAGACCCTGCCGCTCCCGTCATCCAGCCCCTCTGGCTGCTTCATGTACACCTCCTCCATAATGATCCCATTCAGAAAGGCAGTCACAATATCCATCTGCCGAATCTTCCATCCCAGGAGTGCAGCTATCGCCAACAGCACCCTCAGTGTTGTTCCTTTCCCCACAGGAGCAAACACCTCATCATAGTCCTTCCCCTTTGTCTGCTGAAACCCCCGTGCCACAAGCCTAGACTTGTAGCGGGTCAGCTCCCCTTCAGGTCCATACTTGTGCCTGTAGATCATCTTGGAAGTGATTGCCTTCTTTCCAGGAGGCAAGTCACACAGGTCCCATGTCTCGTTCTCAATCAGGGACCCGAACTCCTCATCCTCACTCGCCTTCCACTTCTCCCCATTTGGTCCATTCAAAGCCTCCTCTCGAGTCTTGGGCTCAGGGATTGGTGCCCAGTAGCAGTGAGCGATCTCATCTTCCTCAATCTGCTCAACCACACTCCCAGCCTGCACCACATTCGGCTTGCCTCTTCCCCCATAGGTCAGCCTCACTGGAGGGCGCACATCCCTCCTAGGACGCTCAGGCGGGTGTGGAACTCGAGGTGGAGACTCATGCTGCTGCTGCTGCTGCTGCTGCTGCTCTACTTCAGCTGCTCCCCCTTCCTCAGTCACCCCAGACATCTCCTCCTCTGACACTGCAACCTCCACCTGTCTTGAAGGCTGCTGCACCTCATCTGCCTCCACAATGAGCGGTGTAGATGGAAGCTTCTGTTGCTGCTGCTTCCATTCCTTGTAGTACAGGGACTCAAGAAACTTCACATCCCTTGACACTGTCAACTTCTGGGTGGTCAAGTCCCATAGCAGCCACCCCTTGTGATCCTTTGCAATCCCCAAGTGCACACCCCATCTTCCAGAAGCCTCCAACTTCCCCCTTTTCTCCTTAGACACATGAAACACCACCATGCACCCAAATGCCCTCAGCATGTTCACAGCTGGAGCACTCCCATACCACTTGACATATGGGATCCACTCCTTATCTCCAACTGTAGCCAGCACCCTGTTCTTCACAAGGGCGACCTGCCTCAGTGCAGACACCCAAAACGGATCAGGCAGCCCTGCACGCCCAAGGAGAGTGCGTGCCCCCTCCTGCAGGGTCCTGTTGAACCTCTCAGCCACGCCATTCTGATGTGGGTTGTAGGGCACTGTCAGTTGATGCTGGATCCCCTTCCTCTTCAACTCCCCCTCAAAATCAGCTCCAATGAACTCCCCACCTTTTTCACTACGGATCACCTTCACCTTGTGTCCGCATTCCCTCTGAGCTCTCGGCATCCACTCCTTAAGGACAGCCGCTGCCACCTCCCCCTTGCTCTTCAAAGGGTAAACCCACACTACCCGAGTGTGGTCATCCACAATTGTCAAGAAATAGCGGCTGCCTGAGAGGGAAGGGGCTCTTGTGGGCCCCACCACATCCATGTGCACAAGTGCAAGTGGGGCCTTGGCTGGTCCTGTAGTGCTATTGAAGGGGAACTTGGAGAACTTGGTCTCCAAGCATGTAGGGCAGCTCCCAATCTCCTTCACTCCCCCTTTCACCTCCAAGCCCTTCAGGCTCCCATCCTTCACCAACTTCTGCAGCATAGGGAAGTTCACATGACACAGCCTCTCATGCCATGTCTCCCAATCGGCCTCTCCACTCTTTGATGAAGCCTTAGCCCATGCCGCACTCGCATCCACACCAGCAAGCACCTCACCATGTGTCTGCTGCTGCTGCACTTTCTTGACTGCTTCCAGGACCCCATCAGTTGGTGCAGTTGCATCTCCTCCTGCTGTTGCCTTTGCCGCTGCTGCCATTGCTGCTGTTGGAGTCTTCCCATTCCATGGGATGATGGGCAGCTGCCACAGGTCCTTGATGCAGCTGGTCTCCTCTTCCAGACTCCACAGCACCTTCTTCCCAAGCTTAGCACGGCAGCTGGTTGGTCCAAAGGTCACTTCGGCCTTGCTCTTCTGCAGTCGTCGCACAGAGAGAAGGTTAGCAGACAAGCCTTCAACCAGCAGAACATTCCCAAGCCCCACAAGCTCCCCATTAGCTCCCTTAACCTTGGCATTTCCAACACCAATGACAGGGAGCAAAGCACCTGACGCTGCTGCCACATACTTGATCTTCCCAGGGGGTTTTACCTCATCAAGCAAATCTGCCCGTGGGGTCATGTGACTGGTGCAACCCGAATCAATCACCCAGTGCGTGAGAGGGTGCATCACAACCTTTCCCACAGATCCCACATCACCCTCATGCCCATGCACATCCTCAACCATAAGAAACAAACCAGGATAGGCATTACCTTGTGCACCTTCACCTTGTGCACCTGAGCCTTGCACAGCGCCACCTTGTGCGCGTTCACCACTGGGCGGCTTCATGCCTGGAGGTGCCCATCCCTCCGGCCTGCTGAAGCACTTGAACCAAGGATGCCCTATCTTCTTGCAGTACCAGCAGGTGCCCTCCATTCTGGTACTCCCCCTGCCACTGGAGCTCCCATGCCCCTCATTATAGTCACCTCGGCCTCTACCTCTGCCAAAGCTCCTCCCACGGCCTCGGCCTCTCCAACCCCCTCTTCCTTTGCCGCGCCCTGCAGCTCCATACCCCTCAGCAGTCTTCGTGGCAGCACCGCCTCCCACATGGCGTCTACGGAAGTCCTCCTGCAGAATCTGCTGCCTTAGCCACTCAGGTGTCCATTGATCTTGCTGAGAGTTGAGGGTGGGGATGAGGTTGTCCCAAGAGTTGTCCAACACCGAGATGATCTTGGTGCACTGCTGCAGCTGAGATACACTGCTGCCCGCTGCTGCCATCCTTGCATAGGTGTCCTTGATCTTGTCAAGGACCGGCTTCACATCATCCCCTGGTCACATGGAGATGGCAGCAAGTTCCTTCTCGAGCACGATCACCATTGGGAGAGTGTTGGGCTGAATCACATCACGTAGTAGTTTCCACGCCCTTGGACCCGAATCATCCGCTTCCACAAGATCCTTGATGTGCTCGAACATCTCCTTGTTGACCGATTGAAGGATGAGGTCGAAAAGCACCGCGTTTTTCTCAATCCACCGTTCGCGTGCTTCGCCTTCTTCCGGCATCTTCTCTTCCCCAACAGCAATCTTTAGTAGCTTGTAGCGTTTGAAGGCACTCCTCATCCGTCCGCTCCATTCCTCATAGTTGGAGCCATCCAAAGCTTCAACTTTTGATGGCGGCGGCTCACTTGTCTTCTCAGGTACAGCTCCTCTTCCATTAGCATCTCCTCCTCTCTCATTCATCTTCTCCTTGAGAAATGACGAATTTCAGCTCCCCTTTGCTGTCCACACTCAGCTCCCTCGATATTTTCACAAGTGTCGGCGTCCACGAAATTTCGGCAGAGTTTCCCCTTAGCGGAAGACACATCCAACCTTTAGAACACCACTTAGGCACACCCACAGGCCATGGTGGGTCTAGAGGGTCTTCAAACTTCTGTAGACTCCTCTCAATGTCCTTAATATCGCTCTGATACCACTTGTTAGGATTAAGGACGGAGTCTAGGAGAACTTAGGAGCTAGAATTACTCAAAATATAAATCCGAAATTCTGGACAGAAAAATCGTCTTCACAAGAAACGACGTCAAGGAAAAACTAGCCGTTGGAATGTCGCGAAACTCGGATATGTTGTAGCTCTTAATCTCAGCTACCGTTCCCAATTTGAATCACGTTGATTGATGAAGCATCCGCGACGCTATGGCTTTCGACGCACTAGGGGGTAAGCTGTAGGAGGAGAACTTAACTCAAACTCAAGAGTTCAATCAAAGTTCAAGAATCTCACAAGGAATTAGAGGAGCAAGAGAAAGGTTGGGATAGAAAGAGAGGGACGAGAGGGAAGGTCCCAAGAGAGTCCCCAACCAAGGAAACCCCATAAGCACAAAGATTCCCTCCCTATAGGAACCCCAACTTTGACATTTGTCCCTTCCCAACCAATCCATCCAAGTTGGCCACCCTTGCCAACCTAGCTTGGTTGTTCCCAACCAATTTTGCAGCTGTTACAGTAGAGTGACAAATTTACCCCACCCCCAAAGGTCCCAACTCCATATAAAGTCACCCCACAACTTCACTTTGTAACCGCCGCAATTGTAACGCAAGCTCATGAACTTTGAATCTTCATAGCTTTCGCGTTCTTGCTCCGATTGAAGCGATTCTTGTTGCCTCAGAAAGATCTTCTCAAGATCTATCATCGCAAATACCTGCTCAGACAGAATAACACAAAACACATTCCCAAACTCCAGAACACACCACACAAATTCTTTCACACACAGTCAAACCATACATGCGAATTGAAACAAGAGATGGGAGGCAGACAGAATGTGATAGCATATGATGGCATCACACAACATCCATGACCAAACCGATGCGTCGCTTAGCGACCCCATTCTGTTGCGGGGAGTCTGGCAAGGTGAACGTCTGGGTGATGCCCTCCGCATGACAGAAACGACCAAGGACACCAGAGGCAAACTCACCACCACGGTCGGAGTGGAGACGCAAGACAGGGAGACCGCGGTGGACACGCGCAGAGACAAGCCACGAGATAAGAACGGCAGACACATCGGCCTTCCGCTCCAGGGGGAACACAGTGGTGTAGCGCGTGTAGTCGTCGACAAGCACTAAGAAGTAGCGCTCTCGACGCGGCCCATGGACGGGGGCGGGGCCCCAGACGACCATGTGCAGAGTCTGTAGCGGTGCTGCAGTAGGGGGAAACGAGGAGGAGTGAGGGGCACGGCGGAGCCGGCCCTCGACACAGGGCGTGCAAGGTGGGGCTGGGGAGGAGGGAAACTCGGGGAACGACCCGGGGAGGCCTAGGACGAGACCGTGCTGTAACATGTGACGCAGACGCGGGAGCGCAGGGTGACCTAGGCGGTGGTGCCAGAGAAGAGTCGGGTGAGTGAGAGACCGACAGGAGTAGGCAGCAGCAACCGGGGGAGACGCAGTCACCTGAGGGGGGGTCCCAGCCGGGGGGGTCACCGTGTCCAGTGTGAAAAGACCGGACATCGGGTCCCGTGGGAACGTGGACAGGGGGGCACCAGTGGCGGCCTCGGTACAGATAGCGTACCGCTCGTGTCCAGGGAACGTAGTGGTGACGCCAAGATCCTGAAGGCAGCTGACACCAACTAGGTTCCTGGAGAACGAGGGGATGTGCAGTCCTGTGAGCGAGCCCGAAGGAACCGCCGGGCGGGGAGGGTGGTGGAACTGCGGGCAACTACTGGGCCAGAGGAGGGGTCAGCAAGAGAGACTGCGGCAGGGACAGGAAGCGGCGTCAATGTGGTGGAGTCGCAGAAGAAGCACCGGGAAGCGCCAGAGTCGAGGGTGAAGGAGAGCGCGGCAGTGGCGGCCGGAGGCGAAGCAGCAACGGAAGCGCCAAGGCTAAACAAAGCAGGGGATCCTACGCCTGACGCAGCAGGGGAGTCTAAGCAAGGGGTAATAAGACGGAAGCACACTAGAGTCATCAGCATACATCACATGCAGAGCAGTAACAATCTCATCCATATCCAAATCTAAAATCAGAACCCTACGACGAAACAAACTGTGCCAGTCTGGGAGCTCGGGCGACGGGCCGAAACGCTGACGAAACAGGTCGTCCAGGCGACGGAAACAGCGGACGGATGTGTGACCGATCTTACCGCAAACGAAGCCACGGCGAGGACCGGTCTGGAGCAAGTACAGACAGCGCGCGTCACCCAAACCACCACCCGGCGGCCCACCACGCGCACCACCACCACGTCCAGCGCTACCACCAGCGCCAGGCCACCCGGGCGGGAGACCACTCGCCCGTCTCTGCTACGGCTGCGACTGCTGCGGCTGCTGCGACTGCTGTGGCTGACGCGAGTCCGGCTGCTAAGACGGCTGTTCGGCTGCACCTGGCAGGGTCCCTTCGTCCGCACCACCACCAAGAGACCCAGCTCCAGCACCACCTACACCTGCACCCCCACCCCTGCCGCCACGCCCAGCCTTGGGGCGGCGACCCTTCTCCGGACGGACCTGTGCTGTAGCGGCAGTCTCAGCCACAGCAACAGAACCGCCAGAGAAGGTGCACTGAGCGGGGGCGCAACCCTGAAAGATAGGGACCGGCACAGTACCGCTGGTCTGAGTGATAGAGCGGTGGCGGGCCTCTATAGCAGACAGGGTGTCAACAAAGTCAGTGAGGGTGAGGTTTGCGGGGTGGATGCTAAGAAAGTGGTCACGGGCAGTGGCAAGACGGTCAGGGAGGCGGGTGGCTAGCATGTAGAGAGTAGAGGTGAGGGGCGGCTGGTGGGCTAGAAGCTGTGGGGGAGTGCATGCAGCACGCCAGGTCTCGTCTATAGTGCGCAAGTGAGCGGCCAGGTCGGCGACAGTGGGGAACGACGCAAGATCAGGGAAGAGCATGGGGAGGATCAGACGACCGACCGAAGCAGCAGGCGGGGTGGAATAGCGCTGGACAACAGCATCTAGGAAAGCCTGGGAAGTAGTGATAGACCTGAAGCGAGGTCGCTCGGACAGGGGGAGGGCATTGCTAATGGCAAGCTGTGCGACAGCGTCACGGGACAGCCAGACAGAGCGAGCAAGGGCAGCGGCCGCAGCGGACTCATGCTCAGCGGACGAGGGATCAGTAGACAGTGCAGCGGGGGGGTCAGGGCAGGGGAGAGTACCGTCAAGATGGACAGACAGAGAGTGGCCATCCTGCCGCTGACCAGTGAGGTGGCGACGGAGGTCAGCAAGCCACGCATCAAACTTAATCGGCTGGCCCTCAGCGTCAAAGCGAAGCACCTCCACCATCAGTTACAATAGAGGGCAGTGGAGAGCAGTACAGTGCGGTGCAGTGCGGCGCAATGCGGTACAGTGCGGTGCAATGCGGTGCAGTGCAGTGCGGTACAATGTGGTGCAGTGCAGTGCAAGGCGGTCTAGTACGGTACCAAGGGGGGTTCGCAGGGCAGTGCTGATCGGGAGGAACGGGCCGAACCCGAGGCAGCGGCGGGCTGGCGACGACGCAAATGCAGGAGCCGGCCGGCGGACGGCAGACGCGAGGGGCCAGCAAACGGCGACAACGGGGGCCGGCGAGGAGCTGGCGAGACGGCGAGTAGGGCCAGCCACGACAGCGAGGAGACACGGCCGCGACGGCGGCCAGGGACAGCCGCGTCGGCGGCTAGGGGCGGCCGCGACGGCAGGAGTGACCGTGAGGCGGCTGGAGACGGCAGCGACAGCAGCTAGGGGCGGCCGCAACGGCGAGGGGGCGGCCGTGAGACGGCTAGGGGCGACCGTGGGACGGGCTAGAGACGGGCACGACGGCCAGGGGGCCGGCTAGGGGCGGACGCGACGGCCAGGGGGCCGGCTAGGGGCGGACGCGACGGCCAGGGGGCCGGCTAGAGACGGGCGCGACGGCCAGGGGGCCGGCTAGGGGCGGACGCGACGGCCAGGGGGCCGGCTAGGAACGGGCGCGACGGCCAAGGGGCCGGCAAGGGGCGGACGCGACGGCTAGGGGGGCCGGCTAGGGACGGGCGCGACGGCCAGGGGGCCGGCTAGGGGCGGACGCGACGGCCAGGGGGCCGGCTAGGGGCGGACGCGACGGCCAGGGGGCCGGCTAGGGATGGACGCGACGGCCAGGGGGCCGGCTAGGGGCGAACGTGACGGCCAGGGGGCCGGCTAGGGCCTAGGGGGCGGAAGCGTGGGCAGGCTAGGGGGAAACCTAACCTACTATGATACCATATTAGAAAGAATAATTGAACTAGAATGTGTGAGTACAAGGGTATATAGACTAGGGTGTTGTACCCTCTAAGGCACAATCCAGTATAGTCTACAGTAACGACCTAAGTTAGATTTGACACTCTGCACAGGCCCGCCTGTTCCCAGACTCGCACGCTTCAGTGCCGTGCAATTACTCTCGGGCTCTTCTGCGTGGTTCAGACTGACGAGGTTCAGGGCATGTTCTAAACTTCTTCGCATGCGCACCTTTTCCAGAGATGCGCGAGTCTCTACAGTTCGATTATGACCCGAGCAGAATTAAAGCAGTTGAGAATGAGATACTGAAACGAAGTGAGCTTGACAAGGAAACCTTTGTTTACGCTCTCAGCCGAGTCTGAAACGAATGTGAGTCTGGGAATTGGGTAGCCTGGGAAGAGGTTCGTAAGAAAACGCTCTTAGCAGGAAACAAACAAATCGAGGTCGAAATTACGAGGGACGAATATTCTTGCGCAAAAATTTCGTCTGAATTTTAAGACCAGTGTAAAAGTTTCGTCTGAAATCTCAGACTCCTTGAAAATTTTCGTCTGATGGTCAGACCAAACTTTGAAACCCTGTCTGATTCTCAGACGACCCTAAATCCTAGCTGAAACCTTGGTTCGAACTGACGGCATACCCGTTCTGAGTGTTTTTTTACCATCTTATTGGTTGCCCCTTGTTCATCTAAACCAGCAAAGAATCTGGCTCGACCCATATTCTTTGCTGGTTTATTGCGCGCAGCCAAATCGGTGGTGACGGAATGTGCTTGGAGGATTCCTTGGCCAATAAACCATTGTTTCACCGTTGGCTGTTCACGTGACAGTTTATTTGCCCCAGGTTCGGTGTGATTAATTTGAGAGTTTGGGCTTTAAGCCCCCCGAACCTGTCGAAGGAGACCCTCCAGCGGGTTCCAAAATTTGCCGCCGAACAGGGCCTTCGCCCTGGTGCAGCTTTCCCTCCCCACCGAGCAGTGAGTTCCAGTCATCCCATCAGCACCGAGACTGCTAGTGGTCAACTTGGGGCAGGATGAAATCCAGGTTGGGGGGAGCTTGGGGACTATTCTCCTGTTATGGAGCTGCTGGGTACTCTCACTCCAACTAAACACCCAACTAAGCATCCTCACTAATAAATGGAGCTAGCATGAAAGTTCGTCAAATCTACCTTTCATCCCTTCACTTGTTGGTATTTGTTGGAAATATCTCAAAAGACTTGAGCGTT